GAGCTTCCGAACCCAAGTCAGTAAAAAGATGGTATCGCGTAATAAGTGGTCGGATTTTAATTTTTTTGGAATATCAATAGGCCATTGATTTATTCATAGTTTGAACTTGAAGATGCCGGAAGCTCGCTAGCACATAAAAATACAGCGTTTTTTGGGGGGATATTGATATCCCCAACACGTACTCACTGTCATGTGCGATTAAGGAACTTATTGATGCTCCCATGTTGCATCATTGTCGTCCCGGGAACAGCTATTAGTGAGGACACAAAACGCCATTGGTACCGGAAAATCAAACGAAATAATTATTAACTACTTGCGACATTTCAGCAGCTAAACCTGTGAATCAGGTGAAGTAATCGTTCGTCGATGTGATACACAATTGTGTAATACACAATTTCGGTTCCACACCAGCGCTTTGCAACCAGGTAAGCTGCCAAAATGATACCGGCGGACGTTGAGTGCTTACTTCCAGAGTTTTCCAAATGACGCTGACCACATACCTCACCTACGAAAGCCATTCAGCTACAAGCACCTGACACTCCCCAACGCTGTAGACCTGAGTTCGCATTGAGTTTGTTCGCTGACCACATGTGATGTTTCACGTTTGTTGAGTAATAAAGCACACCAAAACCGCTGTTATGAGCATTCCTGCTGGCAATTATTATGGCATACTACGGATTCCTCATAGACAGGGGCCTTGGGTTTCATGCGTGGGGCCACAGCGTAATTATTCGCCTACAGCGTGACGCTGACGATTTGGTCGTGTTGCATTCGACAATAAATGTCATCTTGTAGCAACCTTGCAACGCAAAACAACATGGGTGTTCACCCAAATCAAAGCAAACTGAACATACCTTCAGCAGAAAAATCAGCGCGGACCACCACCGTGCCTGCCGCTCATATTGGCAACGTGTTGTCTTGTGAATTATGGCGTGGCATATATGCATGATACTATCTATGACTGGGCACTGAAAAATGTTTCTACGGTGGCAGTCGGTTCCTGGAGTGCTTCCGTGGCTAGGATAATAGGCTGATCATAAACATATATACAGAATTTTCTGACAGCTGGCTGATCCACCTCCAGTCGATACCGACTGGCTTGCCCAGATGGCAGTTTTAGGTGAGTCAGGAGTCAACCAATTCCGAACGGGATCGGCATTTCTGTTTGGTTGACAGTGAACAACGCTAGCCTTCTGGCGCCCCTGCAACAGTTCCAACCAATATACAGACCCATGAGACACAAGCGCGAAAACTGACAAGTGCTGACCAGCCGCCGAATTCACATACATCCGTGAAAATGCTGGCAAGAGTTCCTCCCCCCCCACTTGGCCAACTTAAGAATCCCGGTGCTCCTGATCACACTGTCACACTGGTGCCGGGTTCACAAGTGATGTATCTATTGTGGTAAGCAACCCACGCTGTACGAGACTGGAACGATGTACTCCTGGCTGATTGACAAAACCCGATTACGTGTACCTACCTGGCAACCATAACCGGATGAATTATCACCTAGCTGCGCTGACTAAACCGTCGGTCAAAAAGTTCCACATTCGTCAGACTCTGAAACCCATACAACCTGCGTCAAACGAACCATGGATTGCACCGTGTCATTCGCTGAATCCAACTCAGACGGTTCTGTCACTAGTAATCACCACCTGATTTTGCTCGATGGTTGCACGCTGGTATCATGACAGTAGAGTAATTCCAGTCGCTTCTGGATCTCCATGATACCAAAAAATTTTCCAGCCACGTGTGAACATGATTCCCGGCGCCATCGCCAGGAAGCCTATCGTTTGCCGGCCAACCGAACGCAGATTCACCGAGCCTCTGCGGTACTCGATGGGTCGCGGAAGGACTAAATGAAGGAAAATGTGGTTTACTTCCGCACTTCCAACAGCGATGGATACAAGCGCTTCTGCTCCAAAACACGCGACCGATCAGCTAAGTCACGCGTTGGTGACACCTGATCGGAGTTACATTGAGCTAATTATACGGGATGGAGTTGACCACACGATACGGTTGATGGGAAATTCGTCTCTAGACTTGGAAAAGCCTATAACCAGAATGCTTCGCCGGTTCAATCCCAATGACCCTGTTGGGTACTGTAAATTGCTGTTAGCTGAAAGTTGCTCACCGCATTTGTGTTGTGTCCATGTTACTCTTGGTCTGATATTTCGAAATCCGACTACTTCGGACCAAGGAAACCGATCTCCATGCCACCTGTTCTTGTTCGAGGGTTTCATAAACTGCTTGCGGGTCGCTAAAACCATCTGACGATTGTCAGATCTGCTGAGACGTTTGTAGCACCATCGCCCCTGGTTCTAAACACCGCGCGGTCATGTAAGATGTTGAAGGTACACTAACAAAACGGAGCGAGGCTAGAGGGGCACAACGTCCATTATTGTTGAGAATGCAAACGGTTTTTTTATAGTCGGCTGGTGATGAATATTTGCAACAAAATAGCCGAACACAGAGAATCACTCAAGCATCAGTTTAATGTGTCCAAATGAAGGCAACCACCTGGCTGATAAGTCAAGAAGAAAGCCTCAGTGAATGACTTGGCCAGATATCGGTTGTAAACTGTTATCAGTGGTTAAGTAACTAACGGTTTATAGCGGACTGCATGTTTTGGATAAGTTTGATGCACATCATATCGAAACAATGGACAAGGCTATCTCAGATGCGCGAACCAAATAATCATATGGTTACAGCCTACGCGTTGCAGAAAGCAAACACAAGTCGAAAGCGCTCATGGTAACTAACAGTTTACTTAACCCGAACGACACTTATGTACATCTCAGCATCGAAATCAAATGAACAAGAAAATTTGCAGCGTTGCACCCGTATGTTCGCACAAGTGCACAGGAGCTGTGAAAACATAACAGGTCAGTGTGCAGTACATTGACGAGGGAGTAGATGACCTGGGTGGAGAACAAGGCTGGTCAAATGACCGATCACTCATGACCAAGGGCTTGCCCGCGACCGGGAAAACGGGGCGCCGAAGGGGCAGCAGGTGCTTCTCTAGCTCGGGGTGCTTGGCCAAAACCGGCAACGAAACCAACCTGATTCGGAAACAGACGGTAGCTAAAATAAACAAAACAGATCACTCGATAGGAACTCTTTCGGCGTGGAGTCTTGACAAGAAGCGGATCGTCCCAATAAAAAGCAAGGTTGAAAATAATGCACAAGAGCAAATAAACGAGCCGTGGAAAGTCGGGACACCACCAAGATGGGATCCAAAATGGAAGTTTCCAATAACGCGTTCAAGTTACTTAACCCCGACACTTCACAGTTCGCCCATCAGTGTCATTTTTGAGAATTTCATTGATACTTTGATCTTTCCCCACTTCCGTCCCGGTGCAGTTTTCAGTAGTACGTTTTCGAACCTTTATATACTCGGTGTGCTGGCATGATACGATTTTTCCATCGAATCTTGATTAGAAATGCAAGTTTGTCAATTCAATAACCCCGCACAGTGACGACTAGTTTTTCAGCAGGTAAGTCAACACACGACTGGCACAGTAGTGAAGCAACGGCCACATCACCGACCCCATCGTATGGGATACTGATGAGGCCGGCGACGACGACGATGATGATGCCGATTATGCTAAGAACGACGGAACAGTGTTCCGCTGGTAATAGTCGGGCAAAAATTAATGAATCACCTGGAATGACAATCATATCACCAATTCTTCCATGCGATAGCAACATGATTCGTGCGACCACAGATCAAGCAATCTAAAGCCTATAGTCCAATTGATCGTATCAAGAATACTCCAAGCTATCGAGACCATTCGGAATCAGCGTTTTCCCATCACTGCAGACTGTACTGGGCAAGCAATCCATCTGAAACCCATATTCGCCGACTCATTCAGAGCGGTGTGAGCATCATCAACTTCCGCATCAAAATCATGGTCCTTTCTTATATCGCCTGTGATGTGACACATATCCTCTTTAAGGAACACTGTCACTAAGGTAAAAGTTAGGATAACTTCCTCAAAAAGTCACCGTCAAACAACCGCCGGCTGGAATTGTAATAGAGGTTCTCGTATTGATCAACAATGAGCTGAAATCCCATGGTATACATCCTTACTCTCTCCAGCACCAAGCGTGAACCACCTCCGACAAAAACCGACCGGTTCTTTGAAATGGCCTCTAGGAGACGGCAAAAGTAGAATAGGCTGTCTGAAGAGTCACACTTTTAAAACGGATGCCTCCAATCAACTCAATTTACGTTTTCAAATCTAGGTGGTGCAACAGCTTTATTGCTCACGATAAGCCGCCAACAGAGACTCGCCAAAGTGGTCTGTTTAGACCTATGGTATCCTCTGGGAAGGATTTAATCATCAGAACTTGTAAGGGACTGATCAAAAATAGTCGCAGCCAGGCTACAGAAAAAGGGATCGGTGGGAGCTGTCATACAAATGAAATTTATGTTATACAATCCTAAACCGCTTGAAGAAACGACTGTTCTGATGCCATTGGTCAGATATCTAAGCATTGTCAGAAAGGAAGATCAGCGCACAAACTTCGTAACCAAGCCTTCGGGAGGATTTTGCGCCACAATAAATCAAAGAGTCGTCTATGTTTGAGTTTGGAAGGTGGTATGTCAAAACGCATTAAATTCAAGGCAAATCTCATGAGCAGGGGTCAAACTAGCCTTGAGTTGAGGTAGGTTCCTTTAAGGGGAAAGCTTTCCATGGGGGCGGTTACTGTTACGGGAATTCTCAACTGCCGTGGTACTCAAGAGGTAATGTTTTAAACGGGGCGGAAGGGCACTACAGTACCGGCCACCAGTTGTTCGACATACGTCAGAAATCCGCTCGCGACGCCCTTGTAAATTTAAGTTCCGTGCAAATGTTCCGTTCTGCTAATAATAGATGCTGTAGATCAGAATTTTCTACCTTCCGAATTCGGACAGCAGCGCCCCGTTCGATATACCGTAGAGGTGAATTGGTGTATTCGGCTTGCTAAGGGAACGTTGCTCAACCCGAGAGAAAGATATTCAACCTATGATCGACATGTGGGCGTTATTCCAGATCGGGACCAAAAGACCATGAAATCCGAATAGATGTATATCGAAAGCGTTGATCGTTGGGGTCGACTTAACATGTAGTATTCAGATTCACGGAAGAGCTCTCAGGACCAGAATTTTAGAAAGCACCGTAGGCCAACAGGAAAAAGGCGGAATTTTGCACCAAAATTCATACTGTGATAGCACCTTTATTGCCAGACCTATCAGGCTGCTGTCATGGCCTTTATATGAAGAGCTCGCTCCTTCTAAGGAATAAGGTATTACGGCAACAGACTCACAAGCAGTAAGTTAGTATTGAGAGCTAATTTCAAGTACAAGCGTCCTATCAGTCAGTTACCATCATAGACACCTGACCAAACCGTAAGCGTATCAATCTGCCCATTGATCGGGTAAAATGAGTGAGAACTGTCGCGAGGATGGTGATGTTAGTTGTGTGGGAGAGACTGAAATTCACCACTATCGTCGATGACAATGTACTAGAAATACGCAACGGCATGTAACTTCAAGTAATCATGAGGAAAGGGTTGATCGCAGTGCATCATTCGATGGGTGTGAAGGAAGTAATCATAGGAAAGGGTTGATCGCAGTGCATCATTCGATGGGTGTGAAGGGGTTGTAAGGAAAGGCCGATGGACGAAGAGCTGCAAGGTCGACTGATACTTCCCGATTGTAGAGGGGAACGGTTGCAGTAACAGTGGGTCTAGGCCGGGACGATGTGTGAAGTCTGCAGCAGCGCAGAGAGCAAGTCCAAAATCACAAGTGTTGTGATCTTGAACGAAAACAGAAAGAACACAGCACTGAGAATAGGCGAGGCCTCAGGTTAAGCTTATAAAACAAACCCCACGTCATACTTATTGCTTCCGCAATGACTAGTGACTTACAGAAAACTTGGAGTCTTCAGGAGCACTGGACCTCCGTGTTCTTGTGGGTATTGCGAAGTAAAGAAGTAGTACATGTGACCCACAACAATTCCAGTCAATTCCATCAGGACGCTAGAGGGTGAAACAAAACAGTTTGACAATATGATTCAAATAGGAGAAAAAAGCCTTGATGACGTCTCTATAAACTGAAGTGGATAGCAGCAGAGTAGCCCGTTCACATAGGACGAGTTAGATGTGAGCTGTCGGTATTCAGTTTTGACCGCTGGGGCACAGTTTTGGAGCATTTTTTCACAGTCGTTGTGTAGTCATAAACGGTCCAGTTAAATCCTCCCAGTAGTGCAGACAAGAACAAGACTTTAGAAACTGATCAGTAGATGGCAGACGCAACACAACATAATCGGGCCATAACTATTCCATGCTACTATTGCTTATGAGTAGGCAGAAGAAAGCAGTCAAGTATGTTACCCGCAAATCAGAGAAGAAACGATTCTACCGACCGGTTCCCCGTTTCCCTAAAAACTCGACAAATCTCCTAGTCTGATGACTTTTTCCCGTGATAGCTTGTGTTAAAATCAAAAAGCCCTCCATTAAAAAATCTATCGTAGAATACGGGTTGGTATGACCGCATTTGTCATCATGTAGAGCTATTATAAATGAAAATCATCATCTTCATCGACAGCATGACATCAGTGTTCAACACCAATGCTTCACTGCCGTACAACCATGATTTATTTGAAAGCCTTATTGTAAAGAAAAGAGTAAAGGTGGACGGGGGAGGGATTTAGTGCTAGCTTAACACAATCATTCTGAGGTGCCTACACCTCCAAACGCCCACTCAGACGATCTAGAAAGAGAATGACGGAACGAACGCCACTAAAATTGATCGGTTGCCACTTCTTGCAATGCCTCCAGCCAAACGCAAGAGGGGTCACGAGAACTGTATCTTGCAAGGCGTATCGAACCAAAAACACCCAAACTCTTCATTATCTCTTTCACGCCCTTTTGCCAAGAAATAAGTTGCCCACCTCGCGGTTTGCAACATTTCGGAGGCACGGAGAACTACACTCGTCTCGGTAGGTTGTATTTCGACATGAGTAGCACATGGCGAAGCCACCGCGGTTGATGAATGCTGGATGATTTCCGCGACTGAAGTACCTGCTGCCAAACCCAGTGCCCGTCTGCCTCACATCACCTGTCCTCAGAGACCATGTATCGCACCCACACACCTACACAGCCCTCAGGGTAGCCTGTTACACGCGATCCTTGAGACCCAGTGGTCTTTTTGACGCCAGAAGTGACGCAAATTAGCAAGTGATTCAGGTCCTTGAGACTCCAAATCATACGTAGTAGAATCATCAGACCCCAAACTGAGGTTTAAGCACCCTCCCCGAAAAGTGCGGCGTGTAAAACATGAGGACTGGGTTCTTTGTCGTGTTGAACTTCTGTCGTCGGTACTGCCGTTGTTCCGCTCAAGTTCATTGGTTTCTTCTAGAAAATGGGTTGAAGGCTACCTAAATTGCTCTTTAAACTGTTCAGCCCATCGGTCAACACGACGATTATGCGGAACAATAGCTATTCCATTCTTCCAAAAAATCATTTTACAATCGTCTTCTTTTGACCAGTTGCTCGAGACGGCTGAAATGGGACATCGCTGGCTCCTGCAGCAAAAGCCCTCTGTATTCCTATTTCCACAGAAATCCTTCTGTCATTCTTCTGGTTCTTGTTTATCCGTTTGAGCGATCTGCGAGCGCTATCATAGTGGCTGTCTGCTGGTATGACTTCTCCAGTATCGAATGGATCTGCTGATCTCGACGAAGACGTGTTCATTTGTTCGAGTAAACAGATCATAAAAGCTAAGAACACAGTTTCCCTTACTGTCATTAATCCTTCAAATAATCGCTTCAGCGCGTTTCCAGGGGGTCACAATCCAGATTAGCTGAATAAGATTAAAAAACAAGTCGTCCGGTTGCAACACCCTTTCGGTGTTTAGCTACCATGCCACCCGAAAGAAGCATGAGGGCTGGAATATTGCTAGGTTGTCCAAGCCTAGAGGAGGAAGTCGAGAGGCAAATGTTGGACCACGGACCATCCCGTCAGTAAATTCGCTAAAGCCATCTCAGCTGGATATTGTTATTAAGTGGAGCCTTTGAAACTGATGAACGGAAGTGCCCCACTTCAGCCCACGTCATTCTGAGGAAACGAACTGATCACAATGGGACCTCTTCCTGAATCAAGACATGGTGCATATCGGGGGTTTGTCTCATTGTGGACCTGAAGATACTCATTAAGTTAGATTTTCGCTTCCGAACTCTCGGTAGCTTGTCGTAGAAGTAGAGGTTTCACGACCTGTGGAACAAAGTTTCCAATGGATCACGCTTACACGTAACTGGGCTAAAACGAGAAAAATGAAAGTATCGCCTTTAGATACTTCGGCTAGACTTCATCTCCTAAGGCCAGCATGAGATACATTATATCCGCTATGGACAAGAGGAGTACTGGGCAACTGGACAAATAAACTGAACCTTACCTTCCACGAACAATAAGGTTGAATATGACCAGAACCCACGGAAAGTACATTGCTTTGAATTGCATGCCAAACCAAAATTGCACAATGACATCGCGATTCATTTGACTCCAAATGTAGATGACAGTTAGTACCATTGGTTCCAACAGAAACTATGAGGGAAACAAAAAGTACAGAGGGGTGGACGAATAACGGAATAACCGCATCAAGAGCGGAAATTTTTCTTTTCGATAATCCTTTATAGTACGCCTGCGTTTCAATGCACAGTGTTAGTGGTGAGGTTACTGACGGCGACAAGCGAATCTCCTTAAGCGCACCACCCACATATAACTGACATAAGCCAGCCAATTGTCTTATATAATAGCACAGTAAATGGGGCAACTTTCTTTATACACTTAAATTAGAAGTCGCACACACATCGGCATGAAAGCTCAAATGGCACACGAAAACGTGGAGCATGAGAGAATGTAGTACTCGACGATGAGAGGTACGCCATATGCCACTGGCATTGAGCTGAACCATAGCAGCAATTTTTGCAGCTGGAGGATATCCGACAATGCTACACTTGGATTAGAAACCTCCAGAAACGAAAAAACTCCGGGAAAGAAATAGTTTAGGTATTCCAGAGATTGATTCTACGACGAATCTCCTCTCCCAAGTAATGTCCAAACAACAAACATTCCCTTAACAATTTCCTTAACAATGACAGAAAAATGATCTGTCAGACAGGCGTTTAGAACTGGTTGGCTAAAAGTTGAAGAGTTTATTTTGGAGATTGCGCTCCTTACAAAGAGGCGGTATTATGGAATGCTAGAGATCGTGGATTAATAGCAGCGAAAAACTCCATTTAAAACTCGCATGAAGAATACAGGAAAATGAATCTGTTAACCAAGAATAGATTTTCATTATATATCTAGGATATCAGATGAGACTGTGCGCCTTTAGCGTTGCAATTTGCAGACATCTCGAATACCTGTGGTACGCCAGCACTGGGTTTCCACTATTTCATCCCTTTATTACAGGACTTTGACCGAATACGTTGATATGGTTTTCCTCACGCTGGTGTTATCATCATTATTAAAGAAGATACCGATAACTTTTAAACTTTGTAAATTTGTGGTGTGACGGAAAACCTGAGTTGCGATTGGTCCATTTCGCCAGTCTTACGCTGTTGATTTCCACGTCACTTCCAGGTCAGTAATCAACTTCATTTACTGCGGAGAACTTGTATGGGTTGCAGATTATAGCCGTTCACCAGTCAGCACCGACACTACATGACTACAATCCAAACAAACGTGATACGAATGACGCTCTGGTGACATTTGTGTGTCGGCTGCAAAGTGAACCAAGGACTGTTTTATGCTTGTTATTTACATTAATCCGGCTAGACTGTGCTGCAGAATGCCGCAGCTTCATTAATCACATATCTGCCTATTAGGAAGTTGGAGGCGAGGACTATGTTACTTAGTTAGAATATGAATATTCCAGCTTGCCTAACATGACACACTGCTCATAAGGTCGAAGGCCCACTAACGGCTTCGTCCCTGTTGGAACTCGCCAACTTGGCGCGGTTCCCAACTTTCCATCAATTTTATGTTCCACTTAGAACTGGCCAAACACACCCATGCGTAAAATAAATTCAACTGAATCCCAGTTTCCATGATAAGTCGGGTACTATGCTTAGTTGGGAAGCCCCGACGACGAGACCGGTATTGAGCTGTCGAAAGCTTTTCAGTAGCTTTTAGCTAGTGTGGTAATTCAAGCGAATATACCACGAAATCTCACACATCGTACCAGCTAAAAAATGAAACGGCCTCTGTGTAGCACATTAAGCTGAAGAGTATCCTAAACGAAAGATTCAGTCGGACCTCCCGGTGGCACCATCCTAATTTGCGAATGAGGGTAATTCACTGACTTCACCTTGTTTACTGAAATTTTCTATGCGCTTCGCAAATCACTTTCAAGTTGCCGGGTTTAGAAGTTGTTCCACCTTTAGAGTCGAAGAAATATAGCCACAGATTAAATACACAGCTGGGTAGTCAACCAGTGAATAAGATTTAGCCACGGGTTGATAGACACTTTCAGAATTGTAAAGTTCGTGTTCTGCCCCTTATTGTTCACCACACACACTCCTTTGTACGAGTTACTTTGCAAAGTTCTTAGGGCAACGAAAAGTGGTTTTTACACTAAGAATGATCTGGGTAAGCATAAACTTTGATAAGCGACCGGTTACAGGACCTGCGTAAGGAGTGAAAATAGGGTTAGTTGGAAATATAATTTTCCCTTCTACAGCGTCCTCCTCTAGTGACATAAGGCAACGGCCACAAGCATGTTTTGTTATACCGTAAAAACAGCCCAAATGGGAGGTTGATCCATTTCAGTATGTAATCTTGATATCAATCACTTGCATAAACATGCAAGCATCAGTCCTGCGTGGGAAGACTGAAGCTTCCAGGTTTGCTCTCCTGAAAGTACATAAGCTGATCCTGTGTGGCCTGGAAGTTCAAGTCATACGTCGCTGGCGGTACTCTCTGAGCGGGGTTTTACGGCGCTTTATCATGAAGGTTGTCAGTTCACACATCCACTAGGTGCGATGAGCGCAAAGGGTCTAACTGAATTCATGCGGTGTCCCATTGTTGAGTGCACAGACCCCGAAATACATTGGCATAAAAGTTCTAAATTTGAGTGTAAGCGCTAAGTTGACCGAATCCCATGTAATTACAGATACTGCACACATTTAGTAACAACGATCACCACGATCGACACCATCGGTACTTGGAACGGCAACATATCAATAGTTGACGTGATTCTTAACCGCCAAACAGAAAAAAAAACAATAGACGCATACCACGGAAAATGAACAGATCGGTCCACTGCAAAAAGTCGACCGATCAAATGGTCATAATGAGGCCTAGCTAGATCACCGAAACAAGCAGATGACAGATAACAGACTCACGTAAAATGAGGCCATGAATCCAACGATCTGGAAGAAATTCAGCTAAGGAATTTTGCATTACAGGAATGTATAAGTTCAGAACGATTTAATCTCGCACTGGTTGCTGTCAGACTTTGCGAAATACGAGCCGTCGACTGAATATAAATAAACGGTAGCAAGCGTTTGCGTAGAATTAAGCCCATTGTTTGGATGAATCGTGCTACGGTTCTATGAGCAAACCACAAAAGACCTTAAAATGATGATGAAAAGGGTGTTGCTATAATACACTGTTGATGTGATACAATACTGCCGAAAGCATCGATAGAGGCTAGAACACTAACCTGGAGGCTGAGCTAAAGTTACCTCAGAAGCTAAGCTGCAAACTTACTGACTGGGAGGCCAGTGGTTCGAGTCCCACCTCTGCGTCCCGACTGCTCCTGTCTCGAATTCAGTAACTTGACAGTATTTCAGCCTTCGTGCTTCCCTCAGGCGGCATGAAATTTGTGTGCCGAAAGCGTGTGAAAACTGACCGATCGTTATCTGTGCAATCTGGTGGGTACATTTATTAGGTTCAAGTTTCGGCACTCCCAGTGAGGGTCGAGCTTACGATGCTGTAGTGCTTCTTATTGTTGTGGACAGGGAACCCGATCGCCAAGAGCCGGGACAATCAAGCATGGAACCAGCACCAGCTAATCCGGCTGCGCCGGCGGTTGTCTCCACTCCCTTGATGACGACTGAGGCGGAACACGTTGAGATCATGCGACAACGGAAGGCATGGCGTAGTCGGGCGATCAGTGGTGCGTATATTCCAGTTATTGCCCTTAATACACAATTTTCAACTCCCAAAAACTCCTTCCCAATAAAAGTATTCTGAAACTCTTAAATTTAACCACAACCAATGTATAGCAACGCACTTCTAGTTACTACACCACTAGCAGCCGGAACCGATGTACAGAATGTACGCGGACTACAGCCGACAGTAACAACACTGTTGAATCTCTGGTGGCAGCGAATACAGTCATCACTATGGACAGTATCACATCTTTGTTCAAGAATGATGGTTCGCTGCCTTACAACCATAATTTATTTAAAAATCATATTGTGAAAACAATAAAAGTGCATGCCGAAGGGAATCAGTGCTGGCGCATCAGAAGCATTACGAAGTACCTAAACCTCCAGATACTCATTAAAACAATCTGGATAGAAGCTTACAAGAACGCCATGGAAATCAGCTATCAGTCATATCTTGCAACGTCTCTAACCACGCGGTCCCCATGCTGGAAGGCGAGTCGCACCGACAGCACCTGGACACTCCGTCATCTCTCTCATACCCCAATCCCACGTCAAAGGTTCAACAATGCCCTGCCTCCACCAGTCTGAACTAGGCACAGAAAACAGCCCTCTCTTCGGCAAATGACGCGGTCCCCTGCTGGAAGGCGAGTCGCACCGACAGCACCTGGACACTCCGTCATCTCTCTCATACCCCAATCCCACGTCAAAGGTTCAACAATGCCCTGCCTCCACCAGTCTGAACTAGGCACAGAAAACAGCCCTCTCTTCGGCAAATGATGGTTCAGCATGCGCAACATATGGTTCCTGATGCTGGATACAATCTCCGATAGAAGTCCCCGCGGAGTAACCGACCACTCGCTGTCTAATTGTCTCGTTACGGATTCGTAGACGCCAACCTGCACCAGCTATGGATCTGAGAAAAGAGTGTCGAAAGCATAAAGACGTCTCAGGCCCTTTGCTCGAGAATGCTAAGTTCCACAGCTATGCAACAAGACAGCGCGTACTGTAGCCTAATACACACATCCCTTTAGGTTTAGGGATATAAAGCGTTGACGCCATAGGTGTCTCAAATTAGCAAACACGACTCAAGGCTTGCAGATTCGTGCGTTGACCTCACTGGAACGGGATGGCTCAGTGATAAGAGCGCGAATTTACTAAACGGAATGTCCGTGGTTCGAAAATGACCTATGTCTCTCGGCTTTTCCTGTCTAGGATTGGGCAATCTGGGAGTATCCCAGCCTTCGTGCTTTCTTCTAGTGGCACAGTAGTTAGGTACCAAAAGGGTGCAACAGCTGAGGGGTAGATGACCTCAATTGTCACACTAGAATCAGAACTAATACGACTTCCAAGATACCTCAAACGCTTCACGACCTCGAGTGCTTCTCGGTGGATTACGAATGACGTGTTCAGTGACCACACGTCCAG